TTACCTTTGATATAAGGTCTTGAGCAAGAGGGCTTATTACTGAAGGATATGTAAACTTCACTGCCTTGATTCGCGCATAGGTCTCCTTGGTGTCATCGTGCTCAAAAGGAGGGTGGCCACACAACATTTCGTAGCAAAGAACACCAACTGCCCAGTGATCGACGCGTTCGTTATGTGACTGTGACAAAAGCATTTCTGGTGGCAGGTAGTCTATCGTTCCACACATTGTTCTCCTCCTAAAGAAAAACGACAGCTCGTGTAGTGGTAGCGTAGTTGGAAAATGAAGACCAGATGTACAAAAATATGAGGGAAGTAGGCGCGTTTGGATACTATATTTAGTTGGCAGATGGGTGGAGGGGGGGGGGCTATCGAGATCCGATCAACTAATATGACAGCCTGGACGTCGCAGATGGCGACATCCATCACGTGCCCTATGGGATGGGAGCAGCATTCGTTACTTGCGCGCAAACTTCTTCATGACGAAGTCTGCTTACGCTGCACCTACCTCACTTTACCCCCCTCCCACTCACCCACCTTGCTATGAAAGCAGGATACAGCCATGACGACAGAGGATGGACGTGGACGCAGTTGCTGACAAGGCTAAACAGCCCACCTGCGTCAAACCCGACCTGATCTAACTTCATGCACCAGGCTGCTGTAAGGGTGGCTCGGTCATTGCAGCATGACGCTACTCTGAGGAGGACCGGCTTATCCTGTCAGCTGGCAATCTTCGCGGTTACGACTCAGTGCGTCGTGGTACACCCCAGAGAGTCACAGTTACTGTAGTGAGAAATACGCTGATGCGCCGTAAGGGTGGGTTACCCAGTGTCGACGTAACTCTCTCTTCCCTCGTCCATGCACTGGTCGGCTGTTTAAGAATGCCAGAAATGAGCGTATTGGCCGAAGTGGTATGAATGCTTATCTAGGGCGTGCGACGGGTTTATACGGCAGTGTTTATCCGCGTGTGGTGACAACACTGCTGGATAAACGCGTACAGTTTGCCAGGTTGAGTTCTGTTTCGGCTCGGCGCATTTGCGGCACAGGCGGTTGTGGGGACCATGACAGTCAGACCGCCGATTCCAACGATGTCCACCATGTGTCCCACCACAGAGTTTGTGCAGGGATGCGACTTGTGTAAATCATTATATAGTGAGGGTAGACTTGCGCACCATTTATCACATCCTTTCCTCTCTTCTCACCTGAGGTAGGTGCCATGACAAGGTCAAGAAGACCGGACGAGCGTGGCTGGCGCGGCGCGGGCCTGCGAGTGCCGCCGCACCCTCTATGTATGGCTCTTTCGAAGGTTGTGCAGCCAAATAACCCGTGTCGAATCCTGACCTAGCCCCTGTGTTGATCCACCGCATCTGTCAGCTGCCTGTTTAGGGGTAATTTGGTGGCAATACATAAACTCACATGGCTGAAAGCGCAAATTCACTTGACAGGCTGCTCAGGGCAAACAAATTTCAACATCACGAGCAGTAACTGCCTAACAGGCCTAAAGAGAAGAACAGCAGCAGGAATGGGAAGACGAGGATGGAAACGGGCAACGGCCTTTATAGCCTATTGGTGTTCAATCGAACCAATCATCGCGAGAACCCAGTCTTCGGAATAATCATTCCTACTTAGTTGGGACCCAATGACCATCAGACAGGTGCGTACGCATGTTTCGGGCGTGGGTATAGGAAGGACCAATGAGCGTCGGGAGAGATAAAATGCATGAAACACGCGTGGCCCCTTGTATCAATGCTTGTCTGGCTGCTGTACAGCTTCTCAGACGGCCATACGCAGGTCTGGAAAGCCAAATACACCTACGAGAACCTAGTCTTGTAAGAATACGTGCCCGTTCGGAAGGAGGCGATGAGACTTCAGGTTGATCGAGCTGGTGACCCACCGGTTAGTGCTTAAGTACGAAACCGATACGTGGTCTGCGGCCTCGAAACGAAGACGAGCGTCGGGGAAGGCGTTAGACTTAGAATAGACATAATCGATCGTGTCGGAAGGGCTGCTTTGACAATTTGGTCCATTAGTTAACAGAACCGAGCACGTGCAGCAATGAACACAAGCGAGATGATTGGGTAATGCGAAACGTCGTGCTGGACGGCGTCCTGGGTGTCGTAAGATCATGAAACACCCTAATTAGCTGGCCATTACACACGTGGTGGTGCCACAGGTTAGGCTACAACATAGACTACGCCATTTAGCAGAATTTGTCTCGAAAAGAGCCCGAGGACATTAAATATGATCCAATGTAAAAAATCCGCAGGACGCTGAGCGGTTGGTCTAAATGTATAAACGGGTCATTTAAAGCTATACTTAGGTGTGTGATTTTTAGACGCACATTTACGAAACTGCGCCACTCGAAAAAAATGGTTTGGACGCGCGCCGCTTCCTCGGCACAATGGTTTAAGTCATGTATCGAAGGCATTATTTAGCGTGCGTCCCGAACTCCGGAAGAGGCAAGGGATGCGAGCCGACTTACTTTAGGGAAGGAGCGTGGACGGACCAGCCGAAGTCAGCCAATTTCAGCTCATGATACAAGCCGAGGAGAAGGTTTTCCGGTTTAATGTCTCGATGAATGACCTTGCGTGCATGACAGTAAATCAAAGCGTCGCACAGCTGGTATAAGTACTGAAGAAATTTGGATATACGCCGAAACATACAGTTGAGGCCTTGCGTTCACTAAACCGTTGTTCGCGCTGAAGCTCACTATACATTTGGCCGTAATAGGCGAACTCCAGCACCAGGTAAATTTTCGACGAGTCATGGAAGTAGGTGTAGAGCTGTAGGATATGAGGATGGCGAAGATGGCACATTATTTCAATCTCACGACGCAACTGGTGCTCTACACCAGATTTGACGAGCTGTTCTTTAAAGAGAATCTATTTCTCTATTTAGGATAGTCCCTGTTACCTTAAGAGCACAGACGAAGTTGTCGCGTTTTGTGCGCGCAAGGAAAACGTTGCCAAATTTACCTCTCCCGAGTGGCCTTCCGATATAAAAATCGGACAGTCTTGAAATGGCCGGCTCAGTATGACTTAATGGTATTTTCAAAATGACAGCAAATACCTTTCATCTAACATCTGGGGCCCTAAGTCATCCGATAGGACAGACATTAGACACAACGGCAAATCAAAACACAATATGCGCGGAACGTCTTCTGATATAAGATCTTAGTATAGTATAACAAGGCTAAACGCTTCAAGGAATTAGAGATTGCATATTATAATTGTTATTTTCAATTGTCTGGCTTATTTCAATTCGATTTTTAAACTTCCGGCGTAAAGCCTTGACTGCATAACAGATCTCTTTGGGCCACAGCCAAATTATCTATGCGACGGCAAAATGGACAGCTCCGTCAGAGTTCCGACGTTGTTTACAGCTGGTCCTCGGGTGAATTCTCAATATTTGGCATGCACTCCATTTACTTAAAAGCTATGCTTTTTACAACCTTTCGGATCCTGGTCTGTGTCAGACTATACTTAACGATATCGTCAGCGGACGAGCTACCCCATTTTACCGGTTGGTGCTCTTTCGTCGACGGTCTGTTACCTTGCTCGATGCGTTCAACCGTGCTGGGTAAGAAATAGCACTCTCACTCCCTGCACGCATCTTACAGGATTTTGTGGGTTGCCACCATACGGTGACAACCACGTGGAATTCGTACACACGTATATTGAAGTCAAGGCTTTTGTGACTTTTACTTCTTAAAAGGGGTCGACTAAAGACAGCTTCAATTCTTCTATGCGATGGGATAACAATGTCGTCCAAAATCCAGTAATCTATGTAAAGGGGAGGACAGCATCACCAGATAATACCGCCATTCATGGTTTGTTAAGTTAACGCATTATTCAACCACATTTTTTTAAAACAGGAGCTTCTCGCTCAAAAATTCCATTAAGTGTTTGTTGATTCATACACCGGCCGCATTTTAGCCAAAGAACAACATTTCATTTTGCATCAAGAACAAGCTGGGAGGAGGGTTACACTCCCACTACGACATAAAGAGACTATTAAAAAATATAAACGAAAAAAGTACACGGTTTGGACGAATTTTCGCAAAAACCAATAGACTGTGGTTTTCCGAATTCCGTCCTCATGTCTCCTTCTGTAATATGAAATTGTATTCAAAGTTTCGACTCCTGATGGAACTATGTGCAGTAGTTGGCATATCTCATAAGATGTTAGCCGAAACTATGCCAAGCGTCTCTGCTTGGAAAGTATTACTTAGCAGGGGTTGTAATATTCATTAGCAGGCAGCAAGGGAGAATGTTTAAGTGAATCAGGAGTTTTCTGTCCTCCAGACTACAAAGAGTCGTCGTTAGTAATTCTACCTCGGAATGGGTGAAGGTGGAAAGTGGTGTCCCACAGGGTTCTGTCTTAGGCACAGTATTCTTCCTGATTTATGTTAATGACTGCATCAGCGACGTGAATTGCGAGGCTCTCATGTTCGCGGATGACATAAAATATGGAGTGAAGTCAAGTGTGATGATGACGCAGAGAAGTTGCAGTCGAACATCAACAAACTGTGAGCTTGGTCGAACAGATGGCTTTTGAAGTTTAACGTGTCCAAATGCGTGGTTTTGCACCTGAACACCGGCCGCAATGCCTCTCCCAAACACCAGTACTATATTGACGGGACGAGGTTAGAAACTGTGGAAAGACACAGAGATCTGGGTGTATGGACGACCGCAAATCTATCGCCATCAGAACACTGCAGAAAGATGGTCCAGAAGGCTACTAGTACTCTACACTGGATCAGACGTGCATTTAAAATATTTCCTCCCGAACTCTTCGAAAGACTCTTTAGTGTCTTTGTAAGACCTCATCTAGAGTATGGAATGCCAGCAGCTTCACCATGGATGAGGAAGGATATCAACTTACTCGAACAGGTGCAATGCAGAGCGACAAAGATGGTCGACGGTCTAAAGCATTTGTCTTATCAGGAGAGGCTGAATTTGCTTGACCTATTCCCTCTCTCTTATAGACAAATGAACTGCAGTCTACTCTGGACGTTCCGGATTGTTCGCGGCCAAGGTTGCTCATTAAGAGCAGAGGACTTCTTTGAATTCGCCCGTACAAACCAACTACGCGGCCATGCATAAAAAGTCTGGAATGAGCGCACGCGTTTAGACCGACGAAAATTTTCATTCAGCCAGCGGGTTGTCAGGCCGTGGAACTCGCTTCCAAGCGAGATGATGACGGCTGACACAGTTTGTGTGTTTAAAAGAAAACTTGCCCGTCTAGTTTTCGACAGAAATCGACTAGTACAGCATGACTATGCACAGCCAGTTTTGTAAAATCTGTCATATACAATCTTCCGCACTAATTTACAGTGACCCCATGCACTACCTTATGATTACGATTGAAGTGTGACCCAATCACATTTTAAATGCCTGCAATTTTATTTTATTTTTGAGTATGAATCTGCGAAAGCACTGTACATAAATAGGGTCATCAAGGGCTCTGTCTGTAACCCTTCAATATACATATACAAAATCCCAGGAAATTCCGATCACAACAGGATGTCGACACTTCAGTTTAATTTCAGTTTATTTAGCAAGGATGATAGTCAAGGCCTTTGAATACTCTATTGCTTACATGTCAGTGCGTTATATACAGATGTACACGAATAATGAAATCTGTCGCTATTGAGATAGCACTTGCATGACTTAAAAAGTATTGTTTCAAAGGAAAATTTTGCGTGGTCCATGGGGCATTCGTTCACACACACAGTAATACACGCATAGGCACTGACATCAGCGAGAACACATGCGCACACTAGGGCTGGAAACAACAGCAGCCGAAAACACACGAAAGTTTGACCGTCGTGTTCGACGATGCCCAGCGTGTGCCCCACAGACTGCATTGTAGGAGCATGGACGGTGAATTACGCAGGGGGTTTATAGTGCCAGTAGACTTGCGTTGTATCTATCTACACTCTCTCCTCCTCCACCGCCTGAGTCCGGTGTCAAGACCAAGTCAAGAAGACCGGAGACGGGGGAGGCCGAAGGTGGATGGCTTGGACGGATCCGCGCCTTGGCGCTCCACTCCGCACCCCCTGGTCCACACAACAAATAACCAGGATTTCAACCAACACAACAAAGATTTGGAGGCTGGCTCGGCCGAAACAGTCATACCTAGGCGTGCCGCCAACGCCTGGCTCGGATCCCACACTGTGGTGGGAGTGCCATAAAGGCCACATTAAAAAGGAGGCATTGCAGCCTGACTCTCGGACTACCACCGGTCAAGGAGGATGTCCAAGTTTCCCCGTCAGTTGGCAACCTTCCAAGCCACGGCTTTTAGCGCAAAGTGATAGCTTTGTAAGTGGCAAAGCCATTAGTTGGGCACGGTAAGTAGGCTATCCGGGAAACGAAGATAAAAGTTTCCCAACAGTCACAAACTAGTAAATAAGAACAAAGTCGTCAGCAGGTAAAAATGCACGTGCTAGTTCTTTGTCTTATTCAAAGTTGTGTGAAGTTATTTTACAAGAGTATTATAACTGATTAAAACAAGACGGACTTAAATGTCACTACAATACTCCCCATCCTAGGAGAACGGAGTTCAAAAAAATTATTGTTAATAGAAGGAAAATGCGGAAGTGTTATGCATTTTGTACAAGTTGGTAACGGTCGGGAAAACGGACATGAAGACCGCTGCGCGTAGGCGGAGGAGTCTGTGGATAAGGGAAGACTCAGGGTTATTGGACGTAAGTGGAGTCTGGGAAACAGCAAGTGGCAATGTGCCGAGTGGAGGTTGTTTGGTTGGGGAAGTTGAAGGAGGCTCGGTATAAGCTGCCTTCAAACGATCGACTGAGACCACGTCGGTGCGGCCTTCACGGTCAATTGTAAAATTCTTGTCCGTTCGAGTTAGTACTCGAAATGGGCAGTCATAGGGCTGTTGTAGTGGCCGACGAACGCTATCTACACGGACAAATACAAAAGAACATGTTAGTAGGTTTGGGTCGATGTACGACTTAATTGTTGGAGGAGGTCAAAGTGCACTGCCATACGAGATCCGCTTAACTAACCTTAATCTCTATCCTCTGAGTTATAGGCAGTTGTGCGGAGACATGATACAAACTTTCCGTATCGTGCGCGGCTTGGATTGTGCCCTTCGGCGCGATGACTTTTTCCAACTCGCCACCTCAACTCACCTCCGGGGACATCCCTTCAAGCTACGTGTGCCACAGGGTAGACTGAATGTGAGAAAATATTTCTTCTCCAACCGTGTCGTGGAACCGTGGAATAACCTGCCCGAGACGGTTGTTATGTCTCAATCTGTGGAGACATTTAAATGTCGCCTTGACAGATATATGCTGCAGCAACAAGCGGACTATGTGACTTTTTAACCATGTGACTAGTGACATATGTGAATCAATGTATGCATTCAAGTAATGATGTAATTTCTTCACATTTTTGCTTGTTTATCGATTTTTTATGTACAAATAGGGAGTTCAAAGGCGTAAGCCTATTTCCCTCAAATACACTGACTGACACTGACTGACTGACTGACGTGGAGGAGTGGCTCGAAGATGGGTCATGGCATGGCGCAATCTTTGCACATAATCGCTGGGATCCAAGTCGGCTGAGCTTTGAGAGTACCCGAAAAAATCACCTGGAATCCACAGGGTAGTACCGTTGACAAGTTCGGCAGCGGAACACTCCAAGTCGGGCTTGAGTGCAGTGCGGATACCGAGCATGGCCAAAGGCAGATGCTCGCGCCAATGGGAAGGGTTGTCATGATCTCGGAGTGAGGCTTTGAGTTGCCGATGGAAACGCTCAAATAAGCCGTTGGATGAGGGGTGGTATGCTGTCGTGCGTATACGAGAACATCCGAGGAGGTCGGTAAGGCTGTTAAAAACTCTAGACTCGAATTGTTGACCTCGATCGGTGATAATAGTTGAGGGGACGCCATAATGAGAGATCCAGTGTTCCAAAAAGGCATGAGGAACTGAATCTGCAGTTATGTTATGCATGGGTGTTGCAATGGGCCAACGAGTAAATCGGTCAATCGTAGTAAGTAAGTAGTTGCAACCACGCGATGTTAGAAAAGGACCTACCTACTTTGTGGTCTCAAGGTC